TAAGCGTTAACCACGTTTACACCTTTCCCCCCAACCATTTCCGACCTGACTGATTTTATTAATCGATGTGATCGACTTTCTCGTCGGCATGTCGATATATCGATCGCTATGCAGTAAGGAGTTGCTCAAAGTATTCCTGGCGCAAACACTGCAGGTTTCAGGTTTCTGCTTACCGTATCCTCCTCCGCAGCTGGAACCACTAAGATCTCTAATGATACCCCTAAGCAGGCTCGAAGCCGGGAGAATGGAAAATTGCGGCTGATCACCTCCTCTCTCTACCGCTGCCTCCAGTGGGAACTCCTTCTGCAGTCGATGGGTTCCAGGGTTGGATATCGTACTAGGAACTGCAGAATTCTTCCCATTCATTTCCACAAGTCCAGGCTGCTCTGTACGACCCTCTCTTCCTCTGGTGAAGATTCGACAGCTATACACATTGCTCTTTAAGCTCTTCGGACTGTGACGAGAATCCCAAAATATCAAGCGGCTGCGGTGCGGTTACTTGTTCACTGAGACTGCGTTCATACTTCGGTAGGGCGACCCAGTCCCGCGATTCGCCGCGACCCAAGCAACTGTCGCTGCCAATGAGTTGCGTTGAATTGCTGCAGCGGTCAGAAGAAGTTCTGCCCTGGATACGATTCGATAGGCTGGTGCATCGGTTTAACTAGTAGTGATGGGGGTCGCAATCGTGCGACGTAACCGCTAAAGTCGCGAAGTATGAACACGGCATTCGGGACACGATATTCCCCAGCTTCGGAACTCTTTTTCCTAACATCTCTATGAAGATTTTATTTCGCTGTTCCACGAATCCGTCCATTCAATCGATTATCGATTCATTTGTTTATGTTCATACAGCACATCCGTTACAGAATGAATCCACACTTGTTTTTGTTGGCGACGACCAATCGATGTATTGAGTGGCTGCGCTTATTGCACGTGAGTTATATTGGGTGAATTCGAAGTCTCTACAGTAGGCGATCGATTATTGATTGAAATCATTCAGTGTCGCCGCACATACTGTTTACTGTCTGTGATCAACTACACAAACGGACTCATCATAGCCTCATGGCTATTTGGTGCCTACAGCCTTACCTTGGACTTACTGTACTGTGCCTCGTCATGCATGTTTGGAATCGCCATTACTGGGCTTTATTTCAATTGCACAATATTGGTGGTACCCGACGTCATGTATAAGGTGAATATTTGATGGAAATAACGCTTTTCCTGGCTGCCGGTCAATAACCCGATAGTTCAGATCCTTATTTCGATATGTGCTCTGTTCTACAGTATCCATGAAGCAGACACAGCCGTTGAGAACGCCTTGTATCGTCTGGCACTTGTCCTTGTTGCCGTCGTTCTACAGTTCACCGAGGTGAGCGTTTATAGTTACTTCAGTGAGCGGGAATGGGCGAGAAAATGTCGCTGGACGCGCACAGCGCATTCCACTCTGCTAATTTCCAAACATTTCTGCTCATACCCATCCCTTTTCCTTTGCTTTCCTTTCGTTTCGTCCACTTGATCTCGCAAAATCGGTAAATCGACTGTTATCGACCGAAATCTACGAATTTGCGAAACTACACGCATATAGCCAACCTCAGTGGGCGAGGGTGAGCGACAAAATGTCGCGCAAGCCTTCAGCGCATTTCAAGTCGCGATTTCGCAATATT